GATCTGCGGCTAGGTCTGCAGTGTTTATGGCCTGGAGGTGGACGAGCGCTTGCTCGACAAGAGTATCGGTAGGCACGTCGGCACTGTATTTGCGGTCCTTATTGACGAATGGGCCGATGAAGTTGGCTGCCGCATCCACTGCGTCTTCGACCGCTCCCATCGTGCTTAGCGGTGCCGCGAAGCTGGGCGCAAAGTGCTGAGCGCGTTTGTGGGTATAGTGGTGGTTGTCTTGCCGGAGCGTGTTGCTCACGATAGATGTGCGAGATCCACCAAGAAGGCTCTATATAGTCCAACGTTGTTCTCTAGATCTCAGAGAATTCGCTATTTATTGTTGCGTGAGATGATGCGATGGAAAATGGCAACGGGCAGGCGGAGAAGGATATTGCTGATTTGTCAGAGAAGGATGGGTCTCACGTGCTAGCGCCCATGCGACGCGAGGCAGGCGCGATCTCTTGGCGCGAGGCGACGCGTCTTCGCCCTGCTCCTGCCGACATGAATCCAACAACCACCCCGACGTACCCATCGCCACACGCCGTCCATCTCTGTTCGAATGCTACAACTTCTTGTCGCGTCTCGATTGGATCCTGAGCCATGCACGCGTCACCAACATCGTCTGACCATGTCAATCGCGGCGGGACTGTCGCGTAACGCTCCCTTTGGACACAACTTCTTCTCTCGCTTGCTTGCAAGCCCCCCACAAGTCACTTCCCCCACAGTTACCGATGTCTGTCTTCCATTTGGAATGCGGTTCGTCCGCACCTCACGCACTTGCGCAGTCATCACACGCCCGAGCCTCTCAGCATGGTCTCAATGGGTCGTTTGTATGTTGTCTGTGCGCCTTGGTGGAAACACTGGGGTTGTGTGTGAGGAGGGCAGGCTCGGATCTTAACCCTAATCATCTTCCGGTATTCGATGTGCTTGTAACACAACGGATAGTATCGCGGTCATGTCGCCGACCTTCCGACTAGCCCCTGCATATTGGTCTGCTCTCGTGGACCTACTTGCTTGGTGTGCAAAAGGAAGACTCGAGGTACGGGAGCGGGAGCTCAAATTGGGATGACATGTGCCTGTCGGGGTATTAAAGTTCTCGCACGAGGACCACGTCGGCATCTCATCTGTACAACAGACTCTGGCCACGAAAGATAGCTTCACGACGAATGCGACGAGGCGAAGAGGAGAGCTCTGAAGTCAGACGCCGGTCGCCTCACTAGAGGATCGACTTTGGGTTTCATCATCGCGTCTAAATCACAGTCCCTTCGATGCCGAGAGCCATACAGGAGCTGCAACACTTGATGCCAACTATCGCCATGTTACCAGCAGACGTCATGCCTACAGCAACGGGACAGAAGAAGAGCGCGGCCCTGACATTGATCGAGCCAGACATACAGACACATCAACTTGTTCGGCTTCAGCTGGCGTGAGATCCACTCGTCGGAAAGGCGAAAGCCTAGCGAGGTCTCGATACGTCGCAGGTTGGTGTTGTCAGCTACGGCGGGCCGTCACGCTCCGGATTCGATGTCTTGACGTCCGAAGCACGAAAAGTCTGCTGTGTCTACATGTGTTGGATCAAGTACGTGGCGTTTGTACTGCATGGCAATCTGTTCGAGCCGGACTTGTGTATGGCGACGAAGTACCCGTGCATCTCGCCCACAGGGACGAAAGTCCCCATCAGATCTCCAATCTCTTCCTTCATCTACTACGTTACGAAGCCGGTGTCGCAGTATCACCACTTAACACCAGTCACTCTAGGGTGATATCTGACCAGTCGCGTTAGTCGTCAACACGTATGTTCAGCATACGTATGAATTGACGAGCGTCTACCCATCCGATCGAGCAGTTCTATTTCTGTTGCGATCGTCAATGCGGCTTTTGAGGATGTCCTTTGTCCGTATCATCATGCCCTTCGTTTCTCAAGAGAGCGGAGCGGAAACAAAGACTAGTCTCAGGAAGTCTTGTCACTACGTACAGAGAGAAGCATCTTGGCTCAACAACCCATGATGATTGTGTCCATTGGTGAGTGTTGCGTGTCTGTTGTGCTAAGATGACTAGGATCTTGTTGTTTACGCAAGCTGGAGCACGGAGACGATGGTCTTGCAGCGATGAGAGGAGATGGTAGTGTTGGAGTTGCGACGGCGCCTTCTATGGAGACATGATCGCATTGACAGGACCTACAACCTCGGAGTCATTGGTTTGCATTCTTTAGCTTGGCCATACAACAAGAGAGCTGAGCATGAGAGTCTGGAACCCGCCGACAGCATATTGGTGGACAGTGAAAGCCATAACGCAGTGCTTTCCGAACCAGAGAATGGAGATGGGACCTCTCAAGAGTGAGGCTCAAGGTCTAGACCTGTCTGTCAACATTTCCTGCGACAAGTTCCTGCGGGCTCTTCATTCTTCCATCCAACTTGCTTCGCGGGCATGTCACCACCTGTCTTCGCTACAGTCTCTTGGCTTATGCCCTGGATGCATTACTACGTGTTCACCGACGTCGGTCTTGAAAATGCGATTGGTGTGAAAATGGGGGAGCGTGGCATGGCGTCATCGTGGGTGGTTCGACGGCTGTCCTTCGGGATGGCCAACTCTTTTTTCGATAAGTCTTCTGTCTTGGGCGGCTAATACTACGCTAATTAATGCAGGTACCGAAATCGGCTCTGGGCTACTCTAATGTTCGTATTGAGGCTTGCAGCTGCAGCGGGTGTACCCCTCAGGTGTGTCAGCCCTTGGCCAACCGAGCTCGTACGCATTCAGCCTATACAAACACGCTACAAAAACGAGTCACCAAGACCGCCACATTCCTCACGCGACCCTCCTTACTTCAAATATTGTTCAGCAATATCTGTGGACTTGGAGATCAGACCCCAAATTATCGATCCCGAGCTTCCAAGCGTTGTCATTTTCGTCAGTTTAGGCGTTTGGTTGGAGCAACCATCCATACTCCATTGCTTGGCTCGAAGCCTCTTCCACATGTTTAAGGAGGAGGTGAAGTCTCGGTATTCACCGTTGCTGGTATGCACCAATAGGGAACCGGTTGAGGACGAAGCTTGGGAGAGATTACCAGGGAATTATTCGAAGACACGCTGCAATACCTCGCACTGGACCTAGTACAATACAACCCTTGTTTTCCAATGCCAGACCACTTGTGAGTAAGCGACGGTGCTTACTCTTTCGAGAAGACATTCGCACAGCCGTCTCGACAATGATCGGCTCCTATACGACCTACGCTCAATTGTCGGACAGAAGCAACGTATGATTCGTGCTTGGTTGTAATTGCACGCACATGTATCACTCCAGATGCACCCTTCTACACCCTTTCAGAGCCGTCTCAGAACACGTCATTGGCAGCTGTGTTGTTGTAACGCTGGGTATAAATCGAGGTGTACATCGTGACAATCTCAGCAGCACTACTTCAGAGTCTCTGATCTTGAGCTCAACATGTTGCATTTTCTCGTGCACCTTCTTTTCGCGTTCATGCTGCCAGTTTTGGCCCGCGGCGATACTTGTTCATCAGTCGCTTCTCTCGGTTACATCACCGTCACATACCCCCTCAACCTGGCCTACATTGAAGAACAAACCCAGTATTGGTCTACTTCGTGCTCTGCTCTCCTCCCATCCTGCATCATCTTCCCGAGGACGAAGGAAGAAGTCTCGACCGTGGTGCGAATCCTCGCCAACACTACTGAACGCTTCGCCGTCAAATCCGGTGGCCACAATCCCAACAATGGATGGAGTAGCGTAGCCAGGGGCCCGCTCATCGCTATGGAGCATTTCGATCAGGCTGATCTCGATCGCAGCACAGGTATCGCCGACGTAGGTCCTGGTAATCGGCTTGATGGCATTGCTGCTAAGCTCCAAGGCACGGGCTGGACGTTTGTCGGCGGTCGCATCGGCAACACTGGAGTCGGCGGACTAGTACTGGGTGGAGGGCTCAGCTACATGTCGACGCAGTACGGATGGGCTGCGTCAAGTGTCCTCGAGTACGAGATTGTCTTTGCCAACGGCACTATCGGCCACATCCGGAATGACAATCACCCCGACCTATTTGTCGCGCTCAAGGGAGGTGGTAACAATTTTGGCGTCATAACAAACTATAAGCTGCAGGCTCACCGACAAGGCGACATCTGGGGCGGCAACCTAGTGTATCTGCGCACGCCGAGCAAGGACAAGCAGCTACTTCAAGCAGTTCGTGACTGGACAGAGTACAACGAGGATGAGAAGGCTGCGGTCATAGTCACAGCTGAGCGAGCGAACCTCAACGTAGTCGACTCTTGGATCATCTTTTTGTTCTATGATGGTCCAACGCCTCCAGCCGGGCTATTCGACAACTTTACCGACGTCAATCCCTTGCTCGACACCACGCGAACACGCACCTACGCCGATCTCATGGCTCTGAGTAACTGGGTCGTAATCAAAGGCAACGTTGTGGACATCGCCACAGAAACAATACCCTTACCTTCCCGCGCCAATGCTGTCGAGGTTATGGAAGGTCTTCACAAGCACTGGCGCGACATCTCTGACACCACACTACTCGTACCTGGAATCGTAGCATCCATCGCATGGCAGCCATTCCCAAAGAAGATTGCGCAGAAGGCCCGGGAACTAAGCCCTGATCTGATCGATACTGATGCAGATGTCGATCGCATTATCATCGAGATGAACTATGCTTTCACGCCGCAGTCGTTGTATGAGCAGATGGCTGACACGATGGAAGCGACTTATTCTGGCGTGAGAAACAGGGTCCTGGCATGGCAAGCAGAGGGTAAGCTACCGGAAGCGTATTTGCCAATCTTCATGAACTATGGGTTCTTTCGACAGGATTACTTTGGGAGATTGAGGCCTGAGAGCCGGGCGTTGGCGAAGAGGGTTGCAGATGCAGTGGATCCGGCAGGTCTGTTTAGGTCACGCACTGGGGGCTGGAAGCCATGAGCTTGGAATGATGATGATTGTTTTGAGTCTTTCGCTCAATGTTGGGTGAGGTAATTCCTCTGAGAGCTGCTGCTTCATCACAGATCTGCTGGAGGTCGCGTGATCTTTGTTAGATGATCCCCATTCAACTCTTTCATGATCTTGCCTAGACCTTCGTGACTGTAGTCCTTCTCATTCCACATGTCCTGCCTCGTGTTAGCAACAACCCTTCGAGCTCAATGAGAAGTTGCGCAGACGTGCGCTGTTGAATGGTTTTCGCGTACCTTGTGATACCGCACCTTGCCCTCTTGATCGAGCGTCAGTGTAATCAAGCTGTTGACCTTCTTCGCAATCGGCATAGGTTTTGGAGTGTACTCCTGCTGTAACTTGAAGATGATCTCATCAGGCTTGGAGGAAATCACCTCCGTCTTGATCGTCCGACTGCTCTTCATGAGTTTCGGGATCCCTGTCAGGTGTTAGCAAAGCGTGCCTCCTCATCACCGTGTAAGTTTCGGCATTGCTCACCATACCACTGCCCAGCAATCTTATACCTGGTATCGCAATAGCTCCATGGGTCGTCGTATACCGCCTCTTTGCCATACACCATCATGTCTTGTTCGCTAGCGCTGCCAGAGTATAAGTTGCAGATAGACTGCACTATTTTCTCCCTCGCAGGCTCCAAATTCATCGAATTTTCAGGATGTGGCTCATAGTCGACTCCCGAAGAGCTGTTTTGCGACTCATCGGCGTTGTGGGTCAATGCGACCGGGTCGGGTCGCTTCTCGAAGTCGTTCTCGAGGCGTGCCGCGAGTGTGTCCTTTCCGGACTTGCCCGTAACTGGAAGTGTCATATTATCAACTGGAAAGAAGATTGTGAAGCCGTAGGGATTGTACGACTATTTGAAAAACATCTACTTCTCATGAACAATGTGTCTTGACGTCATGGCTAGCTACTTTGGGGTGTGGCTGCGCGATGCGAGACGTCACGAGCCTGCCAATGAAGCCGTGCCACAATCTGAACTTAAGCAATCACCGTAAGAGCATGCCAGAGAGGTATTGAACACTGTGAAGAAAGACCGGGCCAATGCCATTGATCAAAAGCATGTGAGTGTCGCCAGAGGTACGGAAAATTCATCCTCAGATCGTTTCACATGAGATGCGCAACGCCTGATTTGAGCCTCCTGTCGTTCACAACAATCGTCATGTTCCGAGAACGTTCTGGATATGACCTTTTCGTGTTGAATCTCTCGTGTTGCTGTCCGATACATTCAAAATGTGGGTAGCATTTTACAAGCTGGAAGAATGAGTCGACGTCGTAGGCGATGCTACGTATACCTCTTGGGCTTGTCTTGGAATACTATCTGCACTGCATTTTGCTCTGAGGACAGTGAAAGTTCAGTACTACGAGAACGGCCCTAACCTTCGATATGGATTGGCCATTTCTCTACAGCTTCATAGAGCATCAGCAAACTGCCCATGAGATATACTGCGGGTGCCCATACCAGAGCCAGTGTACTCTGATACTCGCACCAACCTGTGCTACAATATCCCAGACAAGCACTCCAGATCCAACCTATGCTACCCACCAGATTTGTCATTCCAACCCACCACCCGACCATGCGCGGCGCGGGCTTCCACCACTGGCGCTGCACTTCAAACAGGTATAGTATCGAAGCGACCAGGAAGCAGATAGCCCCAAGCAGGAAAGAAGGATAGTATAGCCCATAGAGCACACCTTGCGGGAGGTTCTTGTATACACCTGGTAAGGTGAGGAGATTCGTGACCCAGTAAATGGCTGTACCAATGAAGAGGATGAGATTTGCGTTAAACCGATCTCTCGACGATAGTGAACGCGAACATCCTGCCACGTGGGCCACCATTTCCAGGCTTGCTCAGGCCCTGACTGGGGACGTGCCTCAACCTTGAACGTCTTCGTGTGCATTATTCGATGCTTCATGCGGTCGGGGTTGTGGATATGCGTGCAGTTTCGACGGTCGGGTTGGAAGCCGGAAGGGTTCTCGGTCGCTTTCTCTTCGTCCGGAGACGCGAGTTCGATGTTCTCGTTGTCGGAGTTCAAGCTTTCCTTGAGCGCCCAGCCAAAGCAGTCGCTCTGGTTGGCGTTCACCGCTTCGACTACAAGGAGCATGCCGCCCAGCAGGAACAACATTCCACGGAAGAAGGATATCGCGCCGCTGACGGTGCTCGGGTCGGCGGCGAATCGCGTATCTGGATATGCGACTGGAAGCCATTGAAGGACGCCAGACGTGATGGAGCATATCGAGCCGACAGTAAAGACGACGCCAACCCACCACGAAACGTCCCACCAGGCTATGACTGTGATCATGCGCACAAGCGCTCGAAGAAGGCGCGTAGTACGTGCGGTGCGCGAGGGTGCTTGACCGTGACTGAGGAGGAGGATATGCCGGCCTAGAGCAGAGACTCGTCAGTTCTGTCCTCGGCTTATATACGAAACAGCTGTGTACGCACCCTTTCGATTCTCGCGACTCCACCACTCCCATTCCGTCCCGCTTGCGTGTCCATCTTCGTTGTTGACGGCATAGCGCCGTGAATTGGCATTTTGGAAGTTGAGAACCTTGTGCGAGTTACCGTGAACGTAGTCTAGCTGCTGTGACGAGTCTTGGAGACGGTCTTTGTCATTGCTGGGGGCGGACATGGCTCGAGAATTTCGCGAGAAGAGAAGACCACGATCGGGGTATCCCTGTGTGAGGCCTCGTGTCTTTCAAGGTCTATCGTCGCCATAGCTTCTTGCATCATCTTGGGGGTCCCGCGAAACGCGTTCTGAAAGCGGTAAGTCAACCCATCGTTGACAAGATGATGATGCGTGATGTCATGGTGTGGAGAGTTTCGCGTCGATCTTGGCAGGGAAGCTGTCGGCTAGCGTCTGGGGTTTCCACATGTCGCGGGCCCCCCAACTCTCAAGTTAATGACACGACGCAATCGCGATCACTCAGCATCAAAAACGAGCGCGAAAGTCCAGGCGACACCCTCTTTCACTTGTGATGAGTTCTCTCGGTCTGGAAAGTCATCTGTGACCCGGTGCGCGATTGGAATCGCACCTGGGCACGTATGAGCATGTTTCGTGAAACAAACCAAGCTACCGGAGAACACCCATATCAGTAATCGGTCTTACATTCCTAGGAGACAGCGTGCACGAATAAAAGTAATGTCAAGGAGCCGAGTCAGAGGGCTCGGGATAGTGCGATGCGATGGTTCCTGCATCTTACGCTCATGCCCCGTCCTGCATTCGTCGCCCATCAGTCCCAAGGTTGTCTATCAACAGCCGCAGACCATGCATTACTTGCAGTGCGCAGCTTGGGTTCGAGCTTTCAGAAAACACATGCGCTCTGGCATCCTCGAGGAAGTCCGGCAAGTTAATCCTCCCCATGGTGGAAAAGCACTCGCAGACGGGTCTCCCATGTTCATCGCGTCTACATGAAGGTGCCACGCGTACGACACCTCTTGGCTTTTGTGTATAGTCCGCTAATACATCCCGTTGATGAGATTCGCGCACTCAAGCCGATAGAGAACTAACAATGGCCTCATTTCGGGCGCATGGCAGGACGGGTGCTTCGGCGCCGAAGCGTAATCATGCAAACAGCACACCAATGGTTTGGACAACGCGGAAGGCGATGGGATAGCTGATTACTGACCAGACATGAGGTAGAAGACATACGCTGTTTTTTCTGGATATAAAGAGGGTGCCCTGATAGCCATAGTCCCTACCACGCTCATTATACACAACTATCCACCACACACCATGCTTCGCCCCCATTGCGTCAGGCCTAGTGGTCTACTCGCTCTCATCTCGAATATCGTACTTTTTGGATCTCTCTTACCACGTGCTGCAGCGCAGGATGATGCCACCAAACTCAAAGACTGCTTAAGTAGCTCCACCATCTTAGCCTCTTTGGCGACCTTTCCTGATGCTACAAACTGGGATACCATTACGTCCCCATGGGCACTGCGATTCAACCCAGAACCAGCCGCAGTTGTTGTTCCGCGCAACCAAGACGAAATCGCTGCTGCGTTGGCATGCGCCGTAGATGCGGGTGTCAAGGTCTCACCGCTAAATGGAGGACATTCCTATGGAGCTTATGGGCTGGGTGGCGTGGATGGAGCGCTTGTGATCAACATGGAGCGCTTCACGGAGACTACATTCGACGAGGCTACTGGTTTATTCACGTAAGTGTCCGCGCAATCAACTTCAACTTACTCTGTGCTAATGACCATAGCTATGGCGGTGGAAGCCGAGTTGGGCCAGCTGCAACATGGCTTTGGGAGAACCACGGGCGTCACTTCCCCCACGTCCGAGCTAATTGGGTAGGCCTTTCTGGGTCTTCCATCGGTGGTGGCTTTGGAACCACCAGTCGTTTTCTCGGTATTCCTATGGATAATCTCGACAGCGTCAAAGTGATGCTATACAATGGCACAGTGGTCACTGCTTCCCGCACGGAAAACCCAGACCTGTTCTTCGTTGTTCAAGGCGCAGGCTCTTCTTACGGCATCATTCTGTCTCTGACAACACGCACTTGGAAACCAGAGTTCGACATTGTCACAAACTTCACGATCTCACTTGGTGCTGTCGACCTTGACACAGGCGTCCAAGCCCTAATTGATATCCAGGATTGGGCCATGACTAAAGCACCCGATACCTTCGCTCTGCGATGGCAACTGGCAGGCGAATGGAATGGCAGTGGGTACTTCTATGGTAACCCGGACGAGTTTGATGCTCTCTTCGCTGGCCTGGTCGAACGTCTCCCAAATACTACAACAACTACTGTGCGAACGGCGGATTTCTGGGCTATGGAGAACTTTGCCGTTCCACAGATCAACGGAACTACCGACGCCTTCCCTCCGCGCAGCATGTACCTGCAAGCACTGGTTCTGCGCAAAGATCAGCCTTTTACCTTCGAGTCCGCCAAAGCGCTCTACCAGTACACAACAATCGCCTTCAACCGCACTGACCTGACTGAGTTTGGCTTCTTGGACTTATGGGGTGGCGTGTCTAGGGATGTTGACGACTCAAAGCAGGCGATGGCTTACTCCAACAACCAGTGGCTCATCCGCTGGGAAGGACGTCTTGCTAACGGCCTAACCCAATGGCCTGCTGACGGCATTGAGTATATGCAAGCTGGTTTCCGACCTTTCCAGGATCAGCTGAAGAAGGAGGGTGTACCACTAAGGGGCTTTGTGAATTACAGAGATACGGAGCTCTCCGTTGACGAATGGAGCGTGAGGCTATACGGGGACAACTTTGAGAAGATGAAGAGGATCAAGTCGAACCTAGATCCGCAGGGTGTCTTTACGACGCATGCGCAAAGCATTCCCTCATCCTGATTTATCGACAAATGGAGTTTAGGATCAAGTCTCTGTTAAGTGGTTCATCAGATGCAGACGCTTGTCAGGATTGACTTTGGCTTTTGCATGTATATAGGCGGTTGGCTGAATTGGGGTCGAATTCACGTCATTCACTGTGAAGGGCGATTGGTAAACATCAATTGAAACGTACTGCAACATGGCTTTGACAAGTTTCGATGCACCGAACCGGCCATTCTGATTCATTAAATCTATGTTATATACAAGAAGATGCGCTGTCTTAAGAGTCTAATACAGACTATCAACTAGCGCTGGCTGTCTAACAAGTCAGGTCAAAGAACGGCGTGTTGTTCTGAAGGGGCGTGATAGCAAAAGACAAGTCGGTCTGCGCGGCATTGGCGTCCTTCAAGGTGTACCAGAAGGTGTTGCGGGTACCGAAGAGCGAGCAGCCAACTTCGTCCCAGTAACGCTTCGAGTTCTCGAGAGAGGCAACGGCGGAGCCAGAGTTAGGGCCAACTATACTTGTATTAGTATGATCATCATCTAGAGGATTATTCCACAACTTACTTCGTGGCCAACCGGTCTCAGTAACCCAAACAGGCTTTCCATCAGATACACTCTCTGTCTGACCAAGACCCGCAAAGAAGTTCTCACGTGCCAGGTCGATCGAGTTTGGCCTCGTGGTCTCGAAGTATGGGAATGAGTTGTGACCAAGCCAGTTCACGCTGCGCGCAACACCGCGGTTCTCAGGCAGAACCCAGGCAGTGAATGTGTCGACATGGCCGATAGGCTTGCCCTCGAGCGCGGTGCCACGGATCCAGTCGCGCATCCAACCAATGTAACCCTCAATCTCAGCACCAGTAGCACCAGCGCCAGCGTTGTTCTGTACACCTTGCGGGCTGCTGCGGTACAAGTCCTCAGACCCTACGCTGATGCCGATAATCTTGTCTGTGAAAGCGGTTCCGAGTTCCCTGGCGCCACGAATCAGGGCGTTGAGTTCGTTCTCGTATGCCGCACGGCCGGCACTGGCCCAGAGACCGACGAGGAGTTGAGTGTCGGTGTCGATGGCTGCTTGGAAGGCAGAGATGGGATCGGCCGCGGTTCCGCATTGAACCGAAGTGTAAAGACGGGCTGTGTTGAAGCCCGAAGCTTGTGGCAGGCTCTTCGCCTCATTGAAGAAGCGAACGAAGTCGTTGTAGCCGCGGCATGATCCGTCTGCGTTGGTGGCACCGTAGTTGAAGCCTTTGCTCTGAGCGACGGCGGTGGTCGCAAGGGCGAGGATAGACGCAGCTTTGGCCCACATGTTGAGAATTAAGAATAGGGTATTAAGTCTAGTAAAACGAAGGGATACAGATGTAGAAGCCAGGGATGGAGCAACCTTTTATTCCTCTGTAGAGCTGAAGATTAAAATAGAACGTTTGCCCCTGCGCATCATCGCTGGCTGCATGCCAATCCAGATGACGTGGATGAGGCTCGTACTTTTCTTTGCCAAGCGTTGTTGAATGGCGATCTGCCGAGCGCCATGCTGGGCGAAAAGCCCTTTCGAGAAGTCTCCCTGTAGACGGTTGCGCGAGGCCTCATCTACACAAGCAAACATATGACTGTGTGCGACGCAAGCTGCTGTGCGTTTGCGCCAAAGAAAATGGGCAAACCTGGGGAAAGTTGCCAGGACGACAGCTAGTTCTCGTGATGATGCAGCCCTAGGAGGCGACCGTCGACATGTGCCATGCGCATTAGCACGAATACGATCGATATCCCGGGCAGCCGAATCGGATTTGCGCTGGTCTCGAACGCGCGGTGTGGTGAGGATGCGGTCAAGTCGCAGCTGCCCAGACGGAAGATGTGGGGTAGGGAATCATAGCGGCGCGAGGGTGCGGACCAAGTTGCATTGCGGACAATTTCCCGCCGGGACAGCCTCGCTGCCCTTTGCCTTGCGACATTCTTGACTAGTCGTGGCACCAACGAATTATCGCTGTGCGACGAAGTTTGCTAATTGTTATTCACGCAGTCTCGGAATAAAGGCTGCGGGACAGGACTTGGATCATACTAAGGTACACGCAGGAACGCTGACCCGAGGCGGTGCGGTGGCTCACCGGTTGTCTAGCGAGGCATGGGCCTTACTGAGCCTGAACAGTTGCGCACGGTGCGACAGACGTCGTGTTGCTGGTCCAGAGCCTTCTTTTGTTTTTGAGGGATCCTGAACAAAAGATGAACTTCTTCTCGTCTTCCATCGGTGACGGATGGTGGCGGTGCTTAGTCGTCGGAATGTCGCGTTGATCGCGCTGGTGCCGCCTAGGTAAACCTTGGAACATTCCACTCACGGACACGATAATGACTACGATCACGCAGTGTTGTTCTATAGTACCCACCACGCGAGAGGCACGGTGAATAGATGTGGAAATGAACCTGTGAGCAGCAAAGAGCCCTGTTCTGTTTGTGCAATATCGCGGTCCTTTTTGTATGAAACGCACTTGGCTTAGACATTTGCTTAACATAGGTTCTCTTCACTACTCTTGATTAGAGCCTAGAACACACTTCATACTGCTTTTTCATCCACGTAAAGTCACGGGTGGGCCAACACAAAATCGGGGCTTCACATCCTCAAATGCTAAGTGACAGATAAAAAAAGAAGGGAGAATGCGGCTTCGTACACGACAAATCGACAGCTAATTTACCGGGCTAATACAAGAAGGTTTCATACAACCTGAAGATCACCCCAAACTCATAAGCGACGTTATTACCTCCTCACTTTCAAATACAGAAAATGCTGAAACTTGACTGAGAAATCGAGCCTGGAAGGGTGATGGTCTGCATACCTTTTCCAAATCAAGGTATCTCGGAACGATTTCTCTGTGACGAGAACGAAGATCGACCGTCAAGTACCAACAGGACTCGCAGACGATTGTGAGTCGTGCCGTCGAAATTCAGCCACCGAAAACCAGAGCGCGTACCTCTATACTTTCCCTCGGAGCCAAGACGTCTTCATCGCCCAGACTGAACGATGCGTGCGGGCAGCCTTTGCACCGGGTTAGTCTTCTCTTACATGCGATGACAAGGAGCACAGATCTGAGGCTAAACGACACTGACCGTGGGTACCATTTGCATTGGAATCGTAGATCCTGAACATAGCAACCTCGTCTGGCTGTTGATCGCGGAGGTAATACCAGCGGTGATCACGGCTATGCAGAACAAAGTACGACTCTCCGACGAAGTGTTTGCGAACGTAGTCAGTGGCGAGGAGGTCTTGGGTTCGCAGTGTCTGCGTATCACAGAAAGCCAAAGGCCAATTTTCTACGAGCCGAAGAGGTCGCCACACGCTATGCCATTATAAGCTGAGCTGGAAGAAGCTCTCGCTGTGTCAAGTCTTACTTGATAATTCGCACTCGTTCTTGCAGCAGCATGTCTGCTTCAGCAGGAAGATGCTGTCGAACGCGACCGACTGCACCTATAGGGGTTTGATCTTATGTTTCACCAATTATGTTAGCGCAGCCTCGTGATAGCAATGGCGTGTGCACCAATACCAATGTGAGGGTAGATTGCTGGCATGAGCTTGTCGACAGGGTCCGACAGATTCAATGTTCTTTTGAGGAAAGCTTCCTCGCTCATGCTCTTTCTCACCTATCGGGGCAATTAGCAATTATTCTTGCATACGTGTAGCGGAAAGGTACAGTTAATACGCACACGCCAATCAAACACTTCTACACGTCTCGCGCCCTCCGTCTTGTTCATGATCAGCTTCTTTATCTCATCATGATACGTCTTTTCGATATCCGCTACGCTATCGAAATTGCTGATTTCCGTTTTGTGCCGGAGAATTTCGAAACCATTCTCATCTATCGTGAAACGTGTCTCACGTCCCCGTAGATCATGTATGGTGGCATCGTGAGTTTGGAACGTAAGATTCGTCCGAGGCTCATCTGCGTACTTCTCAGGTAGTTCGATGAAGAGCTTGTAAGGCTTTTCTGTTAAATAAACATCGTTCCAATTGGCGTAGGAAAGTTGGGCCTGCACATTCTGCTCTTGGAAGGTCACCATAGCCGGAAGTTAGGGCGATGAATCTTACGATGCAAGCCGGACGATACAGTACTTATATGTGAGCACCATTACATAAGTGCCTACAAACGGCAAATCACTGGTGGCATGTTCCTGATCCATACATGCATCCTGCGTGTCTCTCAACAGGGGTCTAACCCGTAAAAGTTAGCAGCTAATGAAGCAATTGGACCACCCAGTGTCGTGAGGACAGAACGACGTGTATTAATCTGCTCAGAACACTATCAAAAGTCATCCTTAGCCCAACCATTCCTTATACCCTGCGAGCCAACTGGAAAAGACTGTGGATGGATTTTCGCTCGCTTTCCCTGACCCTGCCTTGGTTGTGACTATCGCAAGTTGACTCCTCAAAGACGTGGCTACATCGGGTGGTCAATCAGTCGTGAGACTACCGCGTGGAAAGGTTCAGCACTCACTTGCTAGCCTGCCATGGACTCAAAGGAGCATTCCTTGGTAGCCTGGACGTACTCTGGAGCTTTTTCTGTTTTGTCTTCTTTCTCAAGCTTTTGGACAATAGACTTCCAAGGGGCAGTACGCTCAGCTTGCTCGACTTGAGGCGGGGTTTGAGCTTGAGCGGGCATGTTGATAGCTAGAAGAATGTGTTTCAACGAATCGTGGGTTGATTGAAGAATCTTTGCAAAGTGACGAAGAATCCATGCGAAGGTTTCCAACAATGTTATATGTCCAGCACCGAGCACACGTGAATTGAAAACCGGCCTAACTCCGGAAACCTCACCGGCTATGCTCACTCTCCACTCGACCAGATGCATAATGCTCTGTCTTGGATAGATGCAATCAATATTGAATGCTTGTACATTGGGTAAAGATTGCATGAAGACCGTGTAACACATCCGCTCTTCTCCGTTTCCGGTGAAAATGCATCTACTACCACATGCGTTGCATTGCGTATGACCGTCGTACCACGAGTCAACATATCTCAAGAAGCATAGTAATTGGTCCTCCAGGAAGCGGGGTCAATGCATGAAGCATGCAGCCTTCGAATTCGCATTCAGCCGGTGCAGAGTGTGATGTGGATGATAAGCGCCAGCTCGACAAGGCTGATCGCAGTGTCAGATAACAGCCCGTGATGGTCAATATGCCAATCACGGATCCCTGATAGCACGTTGCCACGATGCAGAAGCATTGTCTGGCCAATCGGCAACGTAGTCGAAACTCTGCTGTATCTTTACTCCCCCACATGCACAACAGTGTATATTTCCATTTCCGGCGTGATGCTTTATCGTAAGACTAGAAGAGTGATTCCACCAATGGGCTACATCGGACTTGGCATCTGTTGGCCTGCAGAAGTGGATGAATGACCATCGACGATCGGCCGCCTACCCCTACCAGCTGACATGCTGACAGCCCCCGCGGCTCTTTTGGAGAGATTGGGACGATAAATGGGTAGTCAGACTAGGGCATAGAATGTACACCCAACAACAGACTCCAAGAGATGTCTTCTCAACGAAATCATATGTACAATCAGAAACTGGCCAACAAAATCATCGTAGACAGCTTCAATGGATACATCATCTGACTGATTGTGTCTCCACTGCGATCCGATATGTCCATGGTGCCACATAGTCGAACAAGATTGGATCGCATTCAGCAGAGCCTTGTCCGAAAGCAGGGAAATCATGAGCTAGCAGCTGCTTCACAGCTGCCTTCGCCTCGGATATCAGCGATTCTCCAATAGCTTTGTCGTCTGGATTGTCTGGCGATTCTCTCAAGGTCAATCCCATGTAGAATTTAGCGCGGGCTTCGATCTCGCTGTACAGTTTGCGTTTACGACATTGCGCTAAAACCCCAGAAAGATAAGGCCTAGGCGCTATTAGTCACTTCGATTCACTGTAGCGAGGCTTAGTCAGAGACACTTACTTGGCTTTGGAGAAATCATGCAGCGTGTAATGAATCACCCCCAGCATCAAACGACTTTGAAGTGTCATCAGATTCGATCGTCCCAACTTGAGAAGCCGATGCTCCAGAACTTGTTCATGCTCGGAGATTGCAGCCTCTATTTGTCCGGCCTGGAACATGACCGTGGCACAATCGAACCTGAACAAGACACCCAGAAGGCCAAAATTCCCCATCCTCAGAAGCTTCGATGCATGTTGAGCGTAATCAACGGCCTTGGCTCTTTCGCCCCGATAGATGAGAACATAAGCCATGTGATGGTAAAACTTCGCGTACTCGTATGGGAAGTCAGTCTCTTTGCCCCAAGATTTGTACTTCTCAATGACAATGGTACAATGTTTCTCGATGTCTTCGTACCGATTGAACTGCTGCCAACTACAAATACGATCGGTAATCGCATTGTAATAGCGAATTTCCTCTTCCAACGTCATGTCTGCCTGTGGAATAGTATCAACGTAGTGTTGACGAATCTCAAGCGCCTTTTCGCGATACTGAAGCCCTTCTGTACGCTGAGTAATCCCCACGGTGTCCGTAAGTATACCGAGGATGACGTAGATGTCCGATCGTTCCATGGCCCAACGGTCCCAGCCGATGCTATCCAGGACCTTCTCTGCGGTCAACATCAGACTCTTAGCGTCGTTTGATAAGCCTCGATCCCATACGTTAAGGCCAACAGACGAGAGAAGGACCGCAAAGTCGAGCGAACCTTTGATCGGAGGCTGAGCACGGAGGAAGGCCGATTCCAAGGTCAGCAGCTGTGGGAGGTATGCTTCAATCTGAGGCCATTTCTCAGATTCTGGCTGTTGTAGCGGTGATGGACGAGGAAATACCCGTCCCAGAAGGTAGCAGGCACGCTCGAAGAAGACTTTACGATGGGCCGGATCCTGGTCCAGCTTGTGTAGCACGACTCTTTGAAGGGACCGATGTGTAGTCAGATATGTATCATCTTTGCCACCTTCTCGCTTGATAAGATGACTATTGCGCAGGCTGGCAATAGCATTGAGGAATCTAGACCCATGTTAATCAATGCATTCGTCTCTAGGTATGAACTGCTACTCACCGTTGACGATTGACCGGACGCAGAAACTCAAAGTTTTCATCTGGCACGTCCACCAAAAGCATCTTTTCTGGGACACCATCAGGGTTGAAAAATGCAAGAACATTCAGAAGGGACTTTGCATCCTCGTGCAGTTTGGAGAAGGCGAGATCGAAAACGGCTCCTGGGTACTTGTCGTACATCCACCTATCACGATGATGCTGTTCGTCAAGTAATCCACTTGATGAGCGGTATATGTCCAGACATTCTTCGAGGGAACATCGTGACTGAGCGATGAACCCACTGAGATGGCTGATCCATAAGGGTAATCCACCCACCGCAGATGATATCTCTTTTGCAAGCTCTTCTTGTCTCTTGATGTCAGTGTCACTCTTTGAAGTTTCGGTCTGCGCTAAAAGCATCTCTGATCCTTCATGTGAGTCCATGGGCTTCAGTGGTATGTTATAATCAGCCCAGCGTACAGTATCGCATGGAGTTTGGGTTGTGACAATGATGGCCCCGTGACTTTTGACCGAGGTTGGCCAAATGGTTGCAACAGTATCAAACTCGTCCAAGTTGTCCATAATCAGCAGCCATGTGAGCTCTGTGATTGTTAGTCAAAGCCAAGCTTTTGGTATTCAAGGATGTACCTGTGTTTTCGAGCCAATCGAAGATTCGTGAATTGCGACGTCCCGCATTGATATCGTCGATGATATTCAGCTTATTTCCAATGGCTGTGAAGCTTTTCAAGAGCTCGATGGACGTTTCAGTCCGAAGCCAGAAGATCGCTTGGTAATATGACCTATATCTGTAAGTATATTCGAGGGCTAGTTGAGTCTTACCGACGCCCCCCATGCCGTGTATGGCACACGATATTGGTTCGCCAGCTTGATTTGAGTTGGATAGATGCTTGTGCAGAAGCTTCAACTGCTCGACTCGGCCCGAAAACAAGTGGTTTCGCTTCCACGTTATTGTATGAACGAAGGAAGGCGATGCCGATGACGGTTCTCCAGCGGGATTTGAGTTCAGTAGTGTGAGTGATGTCCCCGATGTAACAGTGCTAGGCGCGTTTGACTGTGGGGAGAGGCGTTGGACAAGTTCCTCCTGATTGCCAGAGACGCTTTTACTGAGATTGCGCATTTCGCCCAGCGTTAGCGCAACATTGCGTTTGTGGGCAATCTCAGCTCTCTCTTCGAAGCGCTCTTTATGTGTGCGGATGGCTGATTTGACACTCTTCAGTCCTTTGATGTGCGATGAGGATACCAAGTTCCTGATTATGTTCACTAGTTGCGGCGATAGATCAGCGGCGTTAAAGAAGACCCTCACATGACATACTTACTGGCAGGACTGTGATGAACGTACTTCACCAAACAGATACAAAAGTCCAGATAGTCTTCATATAGGCTGCGCAGGTGGAGCTGTAGGGTAGCATCTGATTGGTAAAGTTCGAGATACTCCGCGAAACGAGGTAGCGTATGTTGGAGGTCTTGCAGTTCCGCCATGATATCGTCCAGGAACTTTGAGAATCGGCAAGCGCAATAAAGGACAGTCAGCATACTCTACTTCAAACAAATAAACACAATAACACAATACCGACCTCGATTACTATGAGAAGACTGCCCCAAATAAGGGATGCACATGAGTTGCTTTGGGTGCATGTTGAGATAGCCTTGGTGAAGGATGCGACGTGGTCGAGATGTGGGGTGAGCCTCTCTCTGACCATGGAACTTGTTGTCTTGTCGATGTACGTGTCCGCGATGCCGTTCAATGAGGCTTCAAACGTGTTCAAATCTGTAACGCTGTTGGTGACGTTGATCTTGGCGCGCTCGAGTGCAGTGCGCTTCTTGCTAAGGGCCTCGGCCCATGCTGAATCGGTCATCGCCCCTGTCGTGCACCTCTTGTGTAAAGGATACCGAACAAGCGGAGCGTAGGCGTTGTCCAAGGCTCATTTTGGTGGGAAACAGGCAGTTATGGGAAGGACGCAACGAACAATGCATGGCGCCTCTGACTGGCTTGTGTGACGAGCAGGCGGCGTGCAATTAGGGCAGGCATAGAGCTGAGTATGCCTACAGATGCTTCGGGTCGGGTGCAGTTAGATCTAGCCGACGCGATATCAGGCTTGGGAACGGATGCAATCAGGTCGCGTTCGTGCCATGTCAGTGGTGGCGAGCAAGAACGCCTTCTGCTGATTGAAGCCAGGATCGGGACAACTTGGGTGGCCTGTGCTCGTGCAGGTGTGGTTCCAATCAAACTGCCCTCGGGCTTCGCACGCGCGCACCGCCGATCGTCATCCACGCAGAACATTGCGCGATCATCTAAGCGTCGCAACGAGTGTTAGTTCAAGCGATGTAGAGATTCTGTATAAGTCTGTCACCTCCCTCGCATTTGCAGTGCTCACTTCACGCCCCGCCTTTGTAACTACGAGACCTGTCTTCGAGTAGAACAAAATGGCGTCCGATACCTCTCTCATCAATCGATTATGCAACGTTCGAAAAGATGCCGAAAGTATCATGGAGATCAGTGGTACCCCAGGCGCCGCTATCGCTGTCATGCACGAAGGCGAGTTGGTCCATTCAGAATATTTGGGGCTGCGTGACCGAGAGAATCAGCTCCCCGTGGACGAGGAGACCATTTTTCCATGCGCATCGCTGACCAAGGCTGTCTTTTCTGCTGCAATGGCTATATGTGTGGAAGAGGGTCTTTTTGATTGGAATACACCTGTCAAAGATATCGTGCCTGGCTTTCACACGCAAGACGAGACGCTACATCAACAGATGACTCCAGTCGATTGCCTCTCACATCGAGCCGGTATGCAGTCAACACTTTATTGGGTTGGCAGCAATAACAAGATACTTGTCCCGAATGACAAGAGCCTCGACTTCGTCAACGACCTGCAGCGCGTTCAGCGGTTTCGCGATTACTACCTGTACAATAATCTCGGCTATGAGATCGCTTCACACATCCTCACGAATGTCTCTGGTGGAGCTTGGGACGAGGTTTTGCACAAACGTATCTTCGAGCCGCTGGATATGGCACGAACTGGTACGCGAGCGTACTTTCGGGCCGACAACGTAGCGAAGACTTACATGACCCTGGACGATGCTAGTAATGTCGAGATTACCCCGATGCTGTCAGGCGGCGATACCGTAGGTGGTCCTGGATCTGCTATGCGAAGCTGCATCAAAGATCTGGTGAAGTTGTATGCTAGCTTTCTGAACGCCGGAAAACACCAGTTCGAGTCAGGCACAACATCAACTCCAGGCTCGCCGTTGAAACAAGTACCTTTCCTCTGGTCACCCAAAGTCTCGATGAATCCAATAACGTTTCGCGAGACCTCCTATGCTTTGGGATGGGCCCGTGTCCAGACACCTGGGCCCATGGGCGCCATTGGTATCAACCCTTCGCTCGTGGCGCCGTCACAAGTCCCTCTGGTCGGCCGTGGAATACCTTCAAGGCTCATCTTGTACCATCAGGGATGTATGCCGGGAAACCTCGCTGCAATAAATCTGATACCAGAGACCCGGGGCGCTGTCTTGATCCTCACTAATTCGCTTGCTCTGAACGACGCGGCAGACTGGCTCGGCGAATTATATCTCGAAGCTTATCTCGACGTCCAGCAAAAGAACGACTACGTATCTTTGGCTCAGGTGTCCGCTCGTAACGCGCTTGATTGGTACCCAAAACTTGAGGCGGAGCTGTCACGCACAAAGTCATCTGAGCCACCGCCGAGGGAGTTGCTTGCGTACGCAGGAACATATCGCAACTGTGCTCGGACAATCGTGCTGCAGGTATTGGTAAACGATCAAAGTGGGTCTCTGAATGTTATGTTCGAGGGACTTGAGGACGAAGTGTGGACCTTGTTTCACAATCATGCTGACGTGTTTACTTGGTTGGTTCCAAGGAATACACTCGCCCGGCGAGGACGCTTCACTACAAGTTGGTTCGACAGTGAATACTTCAAATTCAACTTCTACACGCACCCTGACGAACACCACATACTCGGGCTTACATGGAAGCACGACCCTTCGCTTTGCGGGCCACAACGGTTCATAAAGGAATGAATGGCTACTAGATACGAGAACGAAAAACACCAAAAGCAATGTCAACTCAGCGCGTTTCAACAGACAGTTCCCCAATTTGACTCTCTCTTACAAAACCCTCTTTAAAGATCTCCCGGCTCGATCTTCGTAACTGTTGGGTCGAGTCTTGGATCGTATTTGGCAACATCTGCCAATGGGGCGTATTTCTCGCAGAGGTAGCACATGTCGTTGAAGGCACTAGCATGTGTGAGCTTAGAGGGATGATGATGCCGACGAACAACACTGAAAATGCTTACATCTTTCGTGTGATGATGCCTGGTTCTGTTGCTGACCAGTTCAAATTACACTTCAAGCTGTACAATCTATTTCGATCATCCCACTCGGCAGCAGGCTCTGCGGGAGGACACAGCTCTAGGTATGCGTTCCTGTAAGCTTTCGTCCCAAGCTTCTGCGCATATATAACTCGCCATATGCCGATCTCCATCTCGTTGTGGGCGTAGTATGAGCCAGCATCAAAGATCACGGGCGATCCGTTTCTTCGATTGGTACCGACATTAGCATCCCACAAGTCGCCGTGTATGAGGGAGGGCTTTATAGGAATTCCATCTGAGGACAAAGACCCCAACAGTCGCGGAACAACTTTTAAGATGACATGATCTGCCACCCGCTCCAATTCTGGCCACTGGCCGCAAGCTGCTGCGTCCAGATCCACCCGAGTGCGAAGTAGGTTTGCGAAAAACCTCGCCCAGTCTTGTTCCCACTCTACAGGATGCGGAAGTGGGCCATCACAGGTTGTTACAGCGAATCCAAATTTTCCGGTCGGCGAGTGGCTCTGTAGATGCATCTGTACTAGCGCCGAAGCAAAAGCTTGCGGATCAGGCAACGTGTCGTCCAGATCCAGGAAGTCCTCTACCATGAAATGAACTTCGGATTGGATTGCATGAAGACGAAATGCTCCAGATCCGTGAACCACTGGGACTAGACCCGTAATGACTTCCTCAATGGTCTCCAGAGACTTGCACTCGCCTCTAAGCATCATAGCCCCTTCTTCACCAATAGCGCACTTAAGTGCTCGTCAGAGCTTGCTGGTGATTATAGTGCTATGATGCATACCTTGACGAAGAAGTCCTTGGGTTCCCCATGCGCGGTCTTTGTTCGGATACGGCCAGTGGCCGAGAAGTCTGACTTTCCGAACGGCTCTGCAGAAATGACTCGGACTGTAGATGGTAGGACTGTGTATCTTGAGTACTGAGTGAAGTGCTCAATGGGTAAACGTACCTTTCAAAACATCTTCATGCAAGGGGAATGAACCTTGGATGTCAGTCAACGCACCGGCTCTCGTAACGACACCACTCGAGAGAAATCGTGGCACATCTGGATGCATTCTTTCTTTTCTTGGATCGTCGAGTCTGGGTTTACTGCATTTCAAAACAAGAGGGATTCACTGCTTTTACCTCGTATGGTGTCACCGCAGATACACTGAGACAATGTCGCTAGATGCGTACAAGTGCCATGTGACGGGTTTCGCAGCTTAGGCTCATCTTGCTAAGAGAGCAGCATGCATCCCTGCTGATTTACGCCGTGTCGCAAGGGTTGCATGCATGAAGAGAGCATGGTCATGCATTGTAAGCAGCCCACCGGTCAAGATAAACACTACCCCGCTCCCAGCCCGACCTACATATTGGGCTCGCCATGCCGAGCAGTAGAACAACTGTAGCACTCGCGGCCCGAAGATAAGATGTCTCGTGAAAGTGTCCGTTTGCTCGATGTCGGAGTTACTGCATTTGGAGTTAGTTGGCAAAAGATGCATTTGCTCTAGCGAGTATCCAAGCTTACTGATAACAGCTCTACGCATCTGACTACGACTTCAATGCGTCCAACCTTGTCCTTGATGCGCTTCCCGCAATCATACCTCTTTCTGGCGGTCGTATACATCTGCGTATACTCAAATACCCTGAGATTCCAGTGACCTTTGAGAGTGTCTCAGCCGCAATCACCGACATTTGGAATACACCAAGCGCCGAGTGGGTTACCAACCTCGCAGATTTGACGTCGAAAAAGGTCGAATATGAACAGACCTGGAAGGCCCTGGGTCAGCCAGATCTTGTTCTCCATATAGGGCAAATGCGCAGCTTTGCAGGATACTCACTCGAGAGGCTCGCGAACAGAGACGGATACGAACGTAGAGATCTGGAAGACAAGGTACCGGAGACATCACCTCATCTAGACGAACACGACACATCGGTGGAGCGTAAGTTCGCGTTCACAAAGGAGATATTGTACCCGGCAGTGGACATCGAGAAGGTTGCAGCGAAAGTGAGGGGCGCCTTGCCGGTACAGTGTATGGTCGCATCGAGTGCCTATTGGTTCTAACCACAGCCTTCTAGGACACGCTTATTCGGGCCTCAAGCGATGCAGGGCGGTTCATTTGTGAGTATACTTTCTACAGCTCACTTGCTGAGCTCGCACGACGCGAAAGGGCAACAAACACGGCGTTATTCCTGCATGTTCCTGCGAAGTGCTCGAAAGACGAGGTCAAAGACGGCGTCGCTGTTGTTATCGCGTACTTAGACGCTGTACTAGAGACTATGCATTAGACTAGTAATTTGTAAATAATTTTATACTACTTCTCGCACTATTAATAGGTTTATAGTACTATTATAGAGCTTAAAAATTTAAAATTATTAAATACTCTACTTATAGAGCTATATATACTTAACTTATACTATATAAAAGTATAGCTACTAATTAGTAAACTAGAAGTAGTTATTTAATTAAGTATAAAATATAATTATAGTAATTATTACTATAAGTATAAAATATATTAGTATTTTAGTATATTAGCTTTCTATACTATACTTAGTAAAGAATATTAAAACTCTAAATAATTATATATACTATAAGGTATATAAGCTAAAACTTAAAATAAAAGTAATATAATAAGCGCGTAGTATAAAATATAGCGTAAAAAATTTAAATAAAAGTAAAAGTATAGTATAAAACGTAAGCTTTAAGACTTATATAACTCTTATACTTTAAAAAATCTAGTTACTACTCTTTAGCGTAGCTAGAAAGTAGAATAGCTTAATTTTATCTAAAATTACTTTAGGTTTTTTAGATCTTAGTTACTAATAGTAATATATAGAAATAAAGTTTTTTAAAGCTAAGTTTCTAATTATTAATCTTATTACTATATTTATTATAGAAGTATTTAATAGATAAAAGCTTTTAGATTATATTAAAACTACCTAAAAATAATAAGATATTTATTAGTAAACTAATAATTCTATAGTATAAGCTTATATTAAAAAGGTAAAGTCTATTACTAGTATATAAATAGATATATTTCTATAAAAGTTAAAAATCTATATTTAAAAGTATAGATATTAAGTAAACTAAAGCTTAAGTTCTTAGTACTATAATCTTTAGCGTAATAAAAGCTTTTTAAATTTAGAGTAGTAAAATATCTATCTTATAAATACTAATATCTAGCTATAGTAGAGAGAATTATAATAGAATTATATATTTTTAGTAGCTTATAATTAATAGAGCTATTAATAATAAATTAATAAAATACTAAAAAATTTAGTTAATAAAATTATACTTCTATATATATACTCTCTATTTTTTATACTTAGTTAAATTTTTCTTTTATAGCTTATAATAAAATTAGAAACCTAAAATCTATTAAAAATATAAATAGTATTATAGATTTAATTCTAATAATATATACTAGAAAATCTCTTAACTATATTACTAGTCTTTTATAAGTTCTTTTAGCGTTTATAACTCTAAAGCTAATCTTATTACTAAGTATATTTCTTTTTTTTATACTTATAATAATTATATTCTTATACTATATTATATTATATATTAAAGCTTTTATTAACTACTTTAAGACTTAAATAAAAAAAAAAGCTCTTAGTTAGACTATTCTAGAGATTATTATATAAACTATTATTAAAACTAATATTAAAACTAGTATTAAAACTATTATTAAAGCTCTTAAAGCTTATCTTACTTATTTTATATTAAATTCTAAGACTATTAATACTATTAAAACAATTACACTACTACTATAAAGGCTTCTAATAAGTAGACTAAAACCTTTTATAATTTTTAATTATAGCTAAGCTTTTAAGTAACTTACTAGTAATATATAAAAGTATTTTAATAAGCTATATTTACTTTAAGATAAGTAATAAAATAGTAATTATATTACTAGTATTACTCTTTCTATCTAAAGTAGGTTTCTTATTATCTATACTATATATACTAGTAAATCTATATATAAGATTAAGCTATAAATAACTTTGCTTTTAGAAATAGAAGTAGCTATTATATTAAAGCGTAAAGCGTTTATTAAAATCTTTAGCTAAAGAAATAAAGAATAAAGTAAAAAAATAAAGAATTTAAAATCTACTTCTAGTATAATTATACTATTAAATAGAGAGTAGCTATATTAGTATTCTACTCTTAAAGTTATTTTTAAAAATTAAGCTATAATAGAGTAGTTATTCTTATTAGCTTAAGTTAAATTATATTAATAACTAAAGATTAACTTTAGTATAGTCTTAAGAAGTTTTCTTTCTTAGTAAAGTCTTAAAAGTAATATATTATTAGTTAGAAGCTTTAGTACTAATAGTAATATATACTAAATATGTTAAAATCTAAAAATCTTCTAGTAGTTCTAGAATAGAAGCTAGGCGTCTTTTAATATGTCTTTACTAAATATAGTCTATAATATTAGATACAAAGCACTAACTATAAGATATTAAGATCTAATTATAGTTTATATAAATTATTATTAGTACTAAAACCTTTTATAAAAACTTTCTATATTTTCTATAACTTCTAAAAGCTTAGAAAGTATTTAAAAGCTATCTAATATGTAGTTAATATAATACTATTACTTAATAGTTTTTATATTATAGAATATTAAATAATAGTAGTATAATACTAAGTTTTTTAATATTTAAAGTATAAATCTATACTATATTTTAGCTATTAATTACTAAATAGTATTTTACTATAAGAAGTAAGCTATAGAGAAAGAAAACCTTCTATTACTCTAGCTTTAATTACTCTTATAAAGTAGTTTAACTTTAGTATTTATTTTATTTAATCTAGTAGTTCCTAAGAAAGAAATATATAGAAATCTAGTATAAATTTAATTTTATAAGCTAAGTTATAAATAGCTATCTAGATAGATAATAAGATATATTATAGTAATATTAAATATAAGATACTTTTAAGATACTTAAAGAATTACTAATTCTTATTAGATAGTTTATATATTCTACTAATAAGCTTAGCAAAGTAGAAATAAGAATAATTAGACTAGAAGTATTTATACAAGTAATATATAAATATAATAAAATAAAAATATAAGTAAAAAAAATAAGTATAAAAGAAGATAAGTTATAAAATTATAAAGGTAATTTAAATATAATAAAGACTTAATTATAGCTTTAAACTATAAATTAGATTTTTTAGAATTCTTAAAATATAACTTACTATTATATTCACAAGGTAGCATTCTTTAGCTTAGATAATAAATCTAGATTATAATCTTAATATTCTTTATTTCAAAGTAGTAGTAATAGCTTATAAGAAAAACAAGTTTTTATTACTAATAATAATAATAAATAAATATTAGAGTTAGGTAGTAAAGTAATTATATATTAGTAGTATTTATTAAAGTGTACAAATCTAATCTAGATCTATTATATTTAATATATATATTTAAAGTAGAATAGAATAGTAATCTACTTAGTATAAAAATTTAAAAAGACTATTTAGAATATAATTAATTTATATAAAATATTACTATATATATATAGTACACTAGAATATAATTACTTTAAAGTCTAAATCTTTTAATTTATATAAGAGTAATTTTATAAGATATAGTAAGTTTTATACTTTAAAGCTTACTAATACTATATATTACTATAAGCTCTTACTACTTATATAATAATATAGCTATTACTTCTATTCTAAATCTATTTCTATATCTATTTTAATTTACTTTAAATATACTATATCTATAGTAAACGATTTAGCTCTATTATAGCTTTAGTACTAATAATATATATATATACTTTATACTTCTTCTATATTATAATATTTTAAGCTAGAGATACTAAACTAAGTATAAGTATAGTTTCTATTTATTACATTATATAATATAAAGAAAAAGCTAATAGCTATTTAGTTTAGGTAATAGTGTTTAAAATAGGTTAATATAAGAAGTAGTAATATTAAAATAACTCTACTATATCTTATAGTAGTAGTAGTACTTTTTAGCTTATAGTAATAGTAGTAATAGTATAATAGTTTAGCTATACCTTATATAGTACTTATAAATAATCTATTATAGTAGTAGTAATATACTTTTTTAAAGATAAAAATCTTAACAAAATATTAAATTTAGTATACTATTTGCTATTTAGCTTTTTTTTCTAAAATAGATATATACTTATATATTTTATCTTAATTTAGTTTTACTTTAGTACTAGTTAAATTTAAATAAATAATATAAGTACTTTAAACTTATAGTAGTTAAAATAGTATTTAATCTATAATTTCTAAGATATATAGTTTAAAGTAAATTACTAAGAGCTAGAATATAATAGATCTCTTACACTTTACTATAGTAGTATATAGTAGTTATTTTCTATTTAGAGAGTAGATAAATAAGTAACTTAACTAGATATTCTTTAAAATACTTATAGCGTCTAATTAAACTATAACTTCTATAGTTTACGCTAAGTAATATATTTATTTTAAAAAAGAAAAATAATAAAATTTAAGAGATAGTTATATAACTACTTAATAATTTACTAAAAAGAAAAGATTTTTTAGCTCTTAAAAAATAACCTACTTAGAAATATAATCTTTTTTATTATATTTAAGAAGTTTAGTTCTATATAGACTTACTAGTAGTAATATTATTAATCTTCTATTAAAGCCTTTAGAAATTATATATTAAGTATTAGTAGTTTTAGTTAAGTCTTTAGTACTTACTTTTAGAAAATATTAATTCTTTTTAAAAGATATAAGGTAATAATATTTCTAACACTAGTCTTAATTAGATTTCTACTTCTAGTTCTTTTTATATTGTTACTTTAACCTAGTTAAATAAAAAGTAGTTAAGCTAATTACTAAAATTTTATACTACTAAACTTAGTAGTAAGTATAAGTAAACGCTTCTTACTTACTATTAATTAAAATCTATAATTATGTAATTAAAATTTTAAATACTATATTTATTAAGTCTTTTACTTAGAATAAGTAAAAGAATAAAAGAGATTTTAATAATAAAAAGTTTAGAAGCTTATATAAAAGAAATTATTTATTACACTTAAGAA